TGCCGCCTCCCTATTCCACCTTGCAGCAAGGTTTTCGCCCCTCGCGAGCTCACAGCCGCCTAGCCCTAAGCGCCGCTGCGAGAGCCGCCGCCTCATCGAGTCCCGCGCTCGTCTTGCTCCTTCTCCGTCGCACAAATCTAATCCGGCGGCCAAGGATGAAGGATACCCCTTCGTTTTGGAATTTTGCAAAAGAGCCCTTATAAGTACTTGAGTCTTAACCCATGGTCCATAGCGCCTTTTCAGATTCCGTTTTCTTCTTTTGAAAGCGTATTTTGCTTTGGGTAGATCTAAAATACGTTTTCAGCTATTTACAGTTTTACCACTAGATTTGTTTTAGCCATAAAATCTATGTTTTAACTCTGATTTGATCCGTTCAAGTTTTATTAGGTTCATAATTAAGTAATCTACATGGTTATATTACTGTTATGTAAGTTTTCAACTTTTAACATTCGAGGTTATATTTAATCTATTATTTTACTATAGGAAATCTTGTTTAATTCATAACTTCTTTGTTTTAGCTCCAATTTTTGTGATCTTCGCGTCTATGTGATCGTAGAGAGACGTAGATTCATTTTTTCAAACTTTTCATCTTGATTTTATGCTGTTGGTGTACTGTTCTAATCTATAGCTTTTGTTTGCTATGCATGATTGCTTCTGGATGCTTGTTGCTATGAATATCGAGTATAGACGGTGAGCAGTTCGTGGGTGACCAAGAGTATTACTTTGACGAGTCGAATCAGCAGGAGTACTTTGCTCAAGGCAAGTATAGCATGGGATCGTCCTTGTTTCCTATTCACTTTAATACATTAAATTCAAGTTGCATGTGTCACCTTGATCGGGATTCCCTAGAATTGAACTTATACCTTGTCACCTGCGGGATATGCATTGGGTAGCTTTGTTAGTGCTCAATTAAACCATGATCTTATAACTTGACTAATGGTATATGTAATAAACATTAAAATATGACTTTTTAGCAACTTGGAAACAGGGGGCTACAGTGTATAGCTACTTTCTAAATGCTTCAGATTCCTCTCCCTAAGGACTTATCTATAAGTGATCATCTGGGACTTACAGTACAGCTATGAGGGTTATATGGCTCTGGCTGTAGCTCAGTATGAGGACCTTTTCTAGCTTGTTAGAGGTTACCTTTATGGCGCAAGAGGGGTGTGTTCCAGGTTGGATATAGTGCGGCCTCTGTCCGTCAGTGTATAGGTTGTGCGTCATTGTGCCTATCGGAAGGGGGCCGTACATTCACAGGCCACAGAAACCTAGCGGCCCTAACTTGTTAGATGAACCTTTGAAAGACATCATAGTGACCCCTGCCTGCTCACCTTGGAAGTGTTTTGGGAGTTGCAAACCCGAGCATATGGGTATCACGACTCACAGTGAAAGTGTATAACCTCTACAGAGTGTAAAACTGGTATATCAGCCGTGCTTATGGTCACGAGCGGCCTTGGAACCCTTATGGAATAGATGCACACTAAGAATTATCTGTTTATGCTATTCATTATTCATGTTTACATTGATCATGTGTTTTTCATTTGGAATTGAATCAACTTATTGCTACTCTTAAGCTAAAATTGTGACAACTAAAAGCTGAATGCTGTTAAACCTGTGTCAAGTCTTTTGAGCCTCATGAACCCCATGTTACACTTGTTGAGTACGACATGTACTTACGCTTGTTTATTTTCATTATTTGGATAAAAATCCCGGATGGGTAACAGATGGCTATGGGTACGATGATTTCCCTGTGGACTACTAGACTTGTGGTCAACTAGTCGACGTCCCTGTGAAATGGAGCTTCCACGAGAGATCTTTTCATTATACTTCCGCTATGTCTATGTGAAGACTCTGTCTTAATATTCGTGATGTAAAAAACACTTGTGATGATACTATTCATAATTTGTCGGCTTATGTGTGTGACTGATCTCTGGGCGCACATAAGATTTTGCACCCCATTTTATCCTTAAAATCGGGTGCGACAACAGTGATTTCAAGGTAAACTACAAACTAGAAATAAACTAGAAATTAGAAACTAGAAACATATGCACATCACAAAGGAGAAAAGATTGATTATGCGTAAACTAGAAAGGGTGATTATAAGGTTGTGAAGTGACTCATAGTGCCGGAAATAGTATTTGGAGCAGGTTGAGGAGGAGGGACTGGCATTGATGGCGGAGGTTGAGCAATTGTAGCGTAAACACCCCTCATCATTTCAAACATCTGCAGCTGCTCTGCCTCCGTCCTCTGCCGCTCTAGCTCCATCCTCACCTCTAGCTTCTCCTGGAGCCTCGTTTCTTGTTACAACTAAGCCTACAATATTTCATTCTAATGTTACATGCAATGCAAAAGTTTGTAAAAAACAATGAATGATGAATAAAACAAAAATAACCTAGAGTGTGTCCATCAGGAACCGTGTAGAGTCTGGCCGTGGGCGTATCGCCGGGCTAGAACTCGTGCTCCATGCTCAAACTTGGGAGAGAGTGGGAGTACCGGCCGTGTCGATTGTGTCGTCGCCAATCCAAAACCGGCCATGCTTCTTGCCTCCTCCCGCCCTCATGACCACTTGTCCATCAAGGTTTGGGGATAGAAGGGTCCGCCATACCTATGTTGGTGCTCGTCGCCGGTGATGGGTCCGACTAGGAACTGGTGAAGAGACACATTGAAGAGCGGCAGGGGCGGCGCAGGGGGCCAGGGGCAGGGGGCGGCGTCGGCGGGGGCCACGGGCTGAGGCGGGGTTGGCGTCTTGGGTGCCGAGGCGGCGGCGCACGCAAGGGGGGGCGATCGCGGTGGGGGCTGGGGGTGGGCACGGCGCGGGCCTGGGCCTGGGCATGAGAGACCGGCGGCGGGAGACCGGCGGCGCGGGAGGGAGCTGATGGTGGCGGCGTGGTGAGTGCACAGGCGCGGGAGGTGCTTGTGTGCGGGTGAGTTTGCGTATGTGCGTGTGTGCGGGTGAGGGAGCGCTAGGCTGGAAATGAAGAAGGTTTGCCGAGTGTCGGATTGGGCTTTGCTGAGTGTCAGATCAGGGCGAGTGTCAAATGGGACACTCGGCAAACCCCGCTTTTTTTTCATTTTCCTTCATTTCCTTCTTTTCTATAACGTGTTTTTCTCTTTTTCCGATGTACTTTGAAAATACCTTGTCAAATTGACTCAACAATATATATTTGATTTTTCTACAAATATTAGTCCATTATTTTATGCAGTTACGGCTCAAATTTAATTTATATCAATTAAAATTCTATAATTGCACTTAATAAATTAAAATTATCAAACGGATCCAAAAAAAATTACCAAAATTTCACATGAAACAATCTATGTTCTCTATTGCCTATATAAAAAGTTTTGAAGCCAAACCCCAATTCGACCGTCACTTTGACTCCAAATCTTACCGAATCCTTCTCAACACTACGATCCTTCTTCTGAGATGCTTCTATTTGTAAACATCGTGCGTGACAAATTGTGCAAAACCTTCTCAATTTTTTACCACAGCCTCCATGTATGATATCATCACATCATGACAAATCTTATGATTTTCAGACTTCGTTTCCTTTTTTAAAATTTAAAAGCCAATCGGCCACACGTTCGTGGTCGTGTTTTCTGAACAAGATGTTCAAAATTTCTTTTCATTTCCCGAGTAAGGCCTCACACTGGACTCAGTAACATGAATATCATTTTTCTACTCATTTTATTCTATTATTTGAATCACTTGCTGTTCAAATTTGACTTATACAAAAAAAATCCTAGAAATGCAATATATTAATTAAATATAGCAAACACATCCAGAAATATACCAAATATTAACATGGAATACCACATGTTGTATGTGGAGAGTACAAAAAGTTTCAATGTTAGAAGAGAAAAAAAGATATTATTTGCCGAGTGCCACATGTTTACACTAGACAAACATATTTCTTTGTCGAGTGCCACAAGTTTAGCACTCGACAAACATATTTCTTTGTCGAGTGCCTCCCTTTGCCGAGTGTTTTTTGTCTCTTTTGCTGAGTGTATTTGTTTGCCGAGTTTTCCACTAACGGGCACTCAACAAACGTACTAACGGACGGCACACGTACTGACGGATGTGGGCTTTGCCGAGTGTTTTTTTTTCTCGTTTGCCGAGTGCCAAACTTTGCTGAGTGTTTTTTTGCCCCTTTTGTCGAGTGAAATTATTTTGCCGAGTGTTTTTGTGATAGCACTCGGCAAATAGCTTCTTTGCTGAGTGCCCGATAGAATGCAATCAGCAAACATTTTAGCACTCGACAAACACCCAGTTTCCGGTAGTGGTTGTTACCATAAACATACACCTGAATTAAGTAAACAAAAAGACATTACAGGAAACCTTGCTGACGACCATAGAAACAAATAGATGGAGAGAATGGCTGACCACCCCCTCCTCCACTACAACTCCTCCCCTCGCTTCCCTCGGAAGACGGCGGTGGCTGCCCGTGCAAGACCGGATGGCGGCGCCTCCCACATCCAGACCGGCCGGCGGCGCCTCCCTCTCCTACCAGATCCAACCGGTGCCCCTCCCTCCACCCACATTCGGCTGGCGCTGCCTCCCTCCTCCAACCGGCATCGACTCCCTCCTCTAGATCTGCGCTCACCCTAGTCTTCTACGGGCCTTCGACATTCGCCAGCGATGAGCACCCACCAGGTATGCGCCCACCCCTTTGCTCTCCCTTGAAACCGAGCACCGAAACCCTAGCTAACGTAATCTATTTGGGTTTTGTGCTCGGTTTAGGATTCGATTTGGGGGGTGGATCGATAGATCAATGTGTGTGAGCTGCGGTTGCTCAAACCTGGTTCATGTTTAATTAACCTGTCACAAGTGTGCTATTTTTAGAATTAAAAGCACGCTCCTGTTGTTACAATCTCCAATATTTTTTAGAGCTCATACATGGTGTAGATGTTTGAAAATACTTGAATTTCTAAACTGATACATTTTCGGTTATGAAGTACAACAATTATTGTCTAGTAACAGTTATTTCTCAATCTATCTTGGGTTAGCGTTTCACATTACTTAATTCTCTGTTGTACTGAAATGCTATGTATGGGTAGTCATTTCCATTGTCACAAGTATAAACCTGTGAATATAAAAGATTGTTACTGAACTGTACCTGCATCTATTTTGGTCTACAGATTTTTTAGACATCTTTCTCATATAAGAAAACTTGCCCATTCTACCATGTTAGCTTTCTATTATTGCATTCATGTGACAAACCACTCAAGATTACTCAACATCAATAATATAGATGAACCTGGGTACTGGACATTATGGTGCCAATTGGCTACCTGTCTTGCATATCACATTCTTTCATGTAAAACATCAGTCACATTTTTCATTGTTTAATTAAAGAAACTTCAAGTACTAAGAAGCACGTAAAATCAGCAAGCGATTGTGAATTAATTTACCATGCTTCACGGAATATTATGGGTTCAACTTCTAGAAGAATGTTCTTCTCCTCTATTGTTAGTTCAAACCGTTGTCTTGGGTGGAGGTGGACCTCTCTCACCGGTCTCCTTGGGGGTCTCCTAGGATTGTTTCTTTGGCTGCTCCAGTTACCAGATTTGGCACCCCATCCATCTGCTTTCCAGTCCTTGTTACCAGAATCAGTTGTCTCTTTCCATTGAGTAGTACCTTGTGAGTTCTCAGCAGGCACAACATTCCAGCCATCCCAAGAATTTGATTGCTTAGCATCTGAATTGCCCACTGGATTGTCACATTACTCCATGAATCATTCTGTGCATCAGTGTTATCCCATGGACTTTCATTTGATTTCCCTGTATTCCATGTGTCTGATTTCCTCCAAATTACCCCAGGAATCATGATCAGCATTTGTCTTCTTCCGTTTGTAAGTGCTTGGCTACTCCTCCCATTGGCAGTTACCATCTGCCTTCTTTTTGCCCCTGGCATTTCCCCACGCGTCCTGATCTAGTTTCAAACTCTACCCATTCCAGTTGCTGGGATGCTCCGAATTGCCATGGCCATCATCAGACTTCTTCTCCCAGGCACCATCACCTCCATCTCCTTTTCTTTTGTCCCATGTATTTTCTGATTTGGCCCATGGGTCATTTTTATTTGATGCCTCAGGAGTGCTGGACTTCTTCTCCCAATTATCATCACCTGCATCTGAATCCATTTTAGCACCCTTATCAGCCCAAGTATCCATTTCAGCTGGTTGTCCAGATACAGTTGCCTCGCCTGTTGGCTTCTCAGTGCTCCAGACTCCCCAATCAGTGGAATTGTCCTGCACCTTAGCATGCACTTGAGAATAGGTTAATGCCAACATTTTAAAGCATGGTTTGGTTAGCTAGGAATCATGATCCAAGTTGATTTAGCTAACTGAATTGCAAAACTATGTTCAATTGTGGTTGTGAAAATGTAGAGTTCACTAGTTTATCAGTTTGTGGTACTTTTGGAAAAGTATTGTGGCACTATAAGTGAGGTAGCAGTAGCAACCTTCAATGTCTGCATGGGTGGTGGCCCGAGGTTTAGGCGGGTTTTTGAGAGCTGGAGGCTCCGGCTGGGATCGGGGGAGCCATGTCGTCTCTTAGCAGGGAGCTGGTTTTCCTCATCCTATAGTTCCTCGATGAGGAGAAGTTCAAGGAGACGGTGCACAATTGAGTAGTCACCATGATCATGAATGGGGTTTTTGGAGCCTTGCTTTGCTGGGTGAGCTGGGATTTCTGATGCTTTTTGTGGTTGCCCGTGCAGGCTAGAGCAGGAGTCGGGCTTCTACTTCAACATGAAGCACTTCGAGGACCTCATGCAGGGCGGCGAGTGGGATGAGGTGGAGAGGTACCTCAGCGGCTTCACCAAGCTAGAGGACAACTGCTACTCCATGAAGATCTTCTTTGAGATCCGTAAGCAGAAGTACCTCGAGGCCCTTGATAGGTGACCGACTCATCACTACGCTACTCTTGGTCCCTTGTTGTTGTCAAGGTTGTTTTTTTTGCTGAATTTGCTGTCGGTGTCACATGCATGATAGGGCCAAGGCTGTGGAGATTCCCGTGAAGGATCTGAAGGTGTTCGCCTCCTTCAATGAGGAGCTGTTCAAGGAGATAACACAGCTACTGACCTTGGAGAATTTTAGGTACGGTAACTTTCCTTTTAGAAGCAAAATGTTTAGTGCATTGGGCCGGTGCATCCAGATGTGATTGTGTATTGATGATCAACAAGCAAATGAGCAGATGTGATTTTGATGGTTTAATTTTGATATGTTTAATAGCACATATTGACTTCCTTAAAATATCAGGAATGCAATTTGTGAACAGAAATTCTATGGTGCTCTTTGGTATCAATTCAATTAGATTGTATGGTAGAATTTAATTTTTATGTGCACAACTGATATAAATCAAATAGTTCAATCACGTAACTGCTACTTGTGTAGGTTTACAATTTTTGTTGTTTATCTTCTTTTTGGTTATTCTGATGCCAAATGATGTGTTTCTTTGACTTCCCTTAGTATTTATGGATGGATAAGGTGACAGTTAAATGTAGTCGATGCTTCCTTTGTTCATTTGACTTGTTGGAATTTTATTGCTCCTGGTTGTCCAGCGCTACAGAATCTTCTTGATATGGTTCTTTTGGGATTGTTTTCATGTGATTTGGACATCTCTACCTGTTTATCCCAAGTAACCAGCTTTTATCGACAATGTGCAAAGAAATTTTATCACTTTATAGCGGCTCTAGCTTTAGATGCTTATGTTATAGCAGATACCATCCTTTTTTCCTTATTGTAAGGTCGTCTCCATACATGCAACAATTGGGATTTCTCTACTTGTTATGCCTACAAGTCTAACCGTGCTTCTAGAAGCACATTTCGTGCATGTAAAAGGTGAGGCTAACTGGGCTTTATTTCTTTCTTTCTAATGCCTTTCAGTCTGAACTGGCAACATCAGCTCTGCAAGAACCCTAGACCAAACCCTGACATCAAGACACTCTTTACTGATCACTCTTGTGCTGCTCCTACCAATGGAGCAAGAGCACCTCCACCTACCAATGGTCCGCTTGTTGGATCCATCCCTAAGTCAGCTGGATTTCCACCAATGGGTGCTCATGCTGTAAGTATTATCACAAGCAGGCCATTTAACTTATCCTGACTATTGATTGCTTATACTGGTTCAATGTTGCAGCCACACCAATGAGGATCTTCATGCTGCAAATGTTGACAACAATCAAGGTTCCGACAATAATGATGATCATGCATCGATAATGTGATGGTTGTGTTTAGTTGCAAAACATGGATGTGATGGTGGTTTCTTCTTTTGTAGAGTTGTGCTTTTGCACATTAACTAGTAGTGGCTCTAATCTGTTAGCTTTAGTTTTAGCTATAATATGACTTAATGATGCATGCTGGTACTTTACTCATCTTGACTGAGACTTGAACTGTTGAGATGAGATGGTAATGCTTTTGAATGTATTGATGCCGGACCATTTGGACATCATCTATATGTAGCCCGGATGCCATTAATGAATGTGTTGAACATTTGGATCTTTATATGTATGCTATCTATTATGTTGTGATGAAATTACAGTATGGACAGTCCATATTTAATATGTTGTTGCTACTGTTCTGTTTGTATATAATTATTGTATCCAATTTGTGGAATGGTTAAGGGTTTTTTCTGTCGGTGGTATGTTATTTTTCTGTGCATTAACTGAGACCGACACAACATTTAAATTTAATATGGGCTAACGCATTTTTTTTGTATGCGTGTAACACCCACAGAAAAAATCATTTTCCTGTCGGGCTTTTCTTTTTTTTCTGTGAGGATCAACGCACACAACATTTAAATTTAATCTGGGCTAACGCAATTTTGCTATGCGTGTAACACCCATAGAAAAATTGTTTCTAACGGCGAACACACAGAACAATTAAATTTTTCTGTCATTATATTTCCGTGGTATTTTTCTGAGGATACACCTTTAGAAAAATATTTTTCTGATGGTATTCGCATTTTTCTGTGTGTTTTCACACACACAGAAAAATACGAGATTCCAGTAGTGGGTGCAACGCTTAGGCCATCAGCGCGGCGCTTTTCCTATCAATCAATCAATCAACTAGTCCTGTAAACTCGCTCCGTCTGTTATGGGATGCGTCCTGATCAAACTCTTTTAAGTTTGACTAGATTTATAGAAAATATTAACAACATTTATATCTCCGAATAAATTTATTATGAAATATATTCAAGGATTGATCTAATAATACTAACTATGTATTATAAATATTAATATTTTGTTATATATATTTGATCAAAGTTAAAAAAAAGTTAACTTGCCGAGAGGTGAGAACATCTTTTCTTTTGGCACAAGGGGGAGTACTCTACTAATGTACAGTAAGCTTTTGTGAGGGGATGAGAGGCAGAGGCAATAATCGAATAGATGATGACCACACTGACACACGCCTGACCGCTTCTACACGGAAGGTGGGCCTTCACGTGGGCCAGTACGAAGATGCCTGACCGCTTCTACACGGAAGGTGACCGACGACCTCAAGTATGTTGACCTCTCTGCCATACCATTCTATGGTGGCTTGACAACTTGTCAAGGCTGCAGTATCAAGTTTGTTGACCGATCAGCTCGGACTGGCAACCACCATCTACATTAGAGTATGTATCCTTTGCATCCTGCCAGATGGGCCCACTGTTTCCTGTGTGGCTTCAGTGGAATGTGAGCATCACCGATCTTGATATCTCGAGTGCAGGTATAGTTGATAGGATTCCACAATGGTTCTCCGATGCCTTTTCAAATGTTTGGTTCATGGACATCTCCAACAATCAACTCAACGGAACTTTGCCGGCTGATATGGGCTCCATGTCACTTCTAGAACTCTACCTCAGTTCTAACAAATTAACTGGTCAGATACCCACGCTGCCACCAAACATACGTACCTTGGACCTGTCCAATAACTTCTTCTCAGGACCTGTGCCCTCTGCTACTAGATCCGCCAATCTCAGACAGCTTTCTCTGTTCTCCAACCGACTCACTGGTCATATTCATGAATCTTTTTGTAAATATCAGCAATTATTTGTGTTGGACTTATCCAAAAAAAATTTGGAGGGAGAACCACCGTTGTGCCTTGGGGTAACGGAATATGTGGAATTTGTCGCCTTCAGTAACAATAGTTTGTCAGGAAAGTTCCCGTCTTTTCTGCAAAAATTGACAAATGTGCACTTCCTAGATTTGTCTTGGAACAAATTCTCTGGAAAATTGCCAATGTGGATTGGAAGCTTAACATCATTAAGAGTTATACGATTAAGTCACAAGTTCTTTGGTAGCATTCCAATGAACATCACAAACCTTTCTTGCCTTCAGTACATGGATCTAAATAACAATAAAATATCAGGCTCTCTGTCGATCTACCTATCAAATCTTAAATTTATGACAAACACATCCATGATGGGTTGTTATCACAGCCCTGGGACAATTGATCATCGTCTTAATAGTTTGTCTACGTTCTGGAAGGGGCAGGAATTGAACTATGGTTCCATTAGAAGAATTGTGGAGACAAGTATGACGAGCATTGATTTATCTTCAAACGACTTAACCGGTGAAATTCCAGAAGAAATAGTTGTTCTTGATGCACTTGTGAATTTGAATCTATCAAGGAACCACTTGACTGGAGTTATTCCAAAGAAGATCGGGGAAATGCGATCACTGCAATCATTGGACCTCTAGAGGAACATGCTTTCAGGGGAAATACCAGCCACTCTATCAAATCTGACGTTCTTGAGTTACTTGGAATTATCATACAACGATCTTACAGGAAGAATTCCATCGGGAGTACAGCTTGATACCTTGTATGCAGAGTATGCATCTATGTACATTGGCAACGTCGGTCTTTGTGGACATCCTCTTCAAAACAATTGCTCGATCGAGCGTCATGCACCAAAGCAGGGTGGCCTGGGAAGAACTGAAGAAGGTTATGTGATACCATTCTTTTATCTTGGACTCGGGTGTGACTTCGTGGTTGGTACATGGATTGCATTTGGTGTTTTGTTGTTCAAGAGAAACTGGAGAATTGCTTGCTTTCGACTCTCGGACAAGTTGTACGACAAAGTATATGTCGTTGTTGCTACATGGGAAAGAGCAAGACAAACACAAACTGATTAGCAAGCATGAAGCAAAGGCGATGGTCGGCGCTTCAACTAAAATTAGCCAATGCAT